AAATTAATTTAAAAGTTACTAAAAAAAATAAATAAATAATAATAAAATAATCTTGAGCTAATTCATTTTATTCGTCTTTTTTTAGACTAACCTTGTTCCAACTTCGAATTTCATTTTACCTCTAGGTTCAAGACCATTATTAGAATCTACCCATGCTGTACCAAAATCCGAAATCTTTATAACACCTGATTCACTAATTAATATATTACTTGGTGATAAATCTCTATGAATCACATCTATACTATGAATATGAACAACACCGTTAAGTATCATCCAAATGCAAGATTTGAATTCGTGTGGTGCGAGAGTATAATATTCCAACAAAGATTTCAATGTTAGAGGACAATAAGGGAATACAATTGCATTAGCATTCAGTTCGATGTTTAGTAATTTAGTTAATGATAGTGACGATGTTATTTCTACTGGTTCTTCCAAAGAAAATATTGATATGATCTATTAGTATAATTAGTATAATTAGTATAAGTAAAATTAAATTTAAAATCAAAGTTTTAATCGAATCTAGTAGGAAAAAATTTACATTTTCATGACGAACTTTGCGCAAAGTTTCTATCTCGTTTGCAATCCGCTCTTGCACAGGTCTTTCATATTTAACTTCCTTAGCTCTTTTAATAGCAACAAATGTTTCTGTTGAATGTTGTTTAGCTTTGTATACAACGCCAAATGTACCGTCTCCGCAAATTTCAAAAATATCGAAAATATTGGTTTCCATCATCAAAGATCAGCCAGTGAAACAAAGATTCACATGCAAACTTGAAATTTTATTGGTCAATTTGTTTATTTTATTGTTAGTTTTCCTATATAATAGATTTTGAAATTTTTTGTTTTTAGAGAAAATTAAGAATATCAAATTTTATATACTGATTTTAAGAAGTCAATTTTGGAAATTGATAATTATTTTTGAATTGACTAAGTTATTGTACATATTACTCAAACTTTCTGAGTTTAAAACTAAACTAAAGAGTGTTAAAAATATTTTTTTAACAAGATCTTATATTAATTAATTTTTATTAAATTATTTGTAGATTTATATTTTGGATAATTTTAACGCTCACCAGTGGTGAAATTCACCAGTTATATGATTAACCAATAAAATTACAGGATCTCGTGTA